GCGCGCGGCCAGCTCCAGCCGGGCCGGCTGAGTTTGGGGCAGTGGCCAGTCCCCCACACTCGGGGATGGGTCGGGATCGGGGTCTGGGGTGGGGTAGGTGTGCTGTGTCTCTAAGAACTGGCGTTGATAGGTCCTCGGCCAGGTGTCGGGCTCAGGGAAGAGCCGGAGCGAGCCGAGCCGGTGTCACCCCACACCCGGCTCCACCTCCAGCCCTGCCTCTCGCTCTTCAGCTGCCGGAGGCAGAGTCCTCTGTGCAGCGGGGAGGCCGAGCGGCTCTGAGGGCCCTGGGAGGGCTGGCGACCAAGACTGCCTAAGGAAGAGGCGAGGCGGGAGTGGTGCCTGGGGTTCGTCCGGCCGTACTGGCCCTCGGGAGCTCTCCCTCGTCAGATACCGAGAGAAGTCCCCGTGGCCGAGTGCCGGGGTGCCCGACACAGGACTTTCTTGTAGGGGCGAGCATTTCCCAAGATCTGCCAAACATCTTTCAACAAAGGGAAGCGCCATTTCAGCCTTCCTCAGGGCCTTCATTTCTCCCTCCCACTTCTCACCTTCCTCCTCCTCCTCTCTAGCTAGTACTAGAAATTGAACTCAAGGCCTTTGCACCGAGCAACATCTCCCAGCTCCTTTTTTAATGTTTTATTTTGAGACAAGGTCTCCGATCCCCAGCCTGATCTCGAACTTGTGATCCTCGCCTCAGCCTCCCAGAGTGCTGGGGCTGTGGGAGTTCGCCATTCCACCTGTCTGACTCAGAGCCTTCATTTCGATTGCCAGGCAGTGGTGGCGCACACCTCTAATCAGTATTCTAGGACGCTCAGGCTGGAGGGCTCCTGCTTTGAGCCCAGACTATGCAATTTGGTGAGACCCTGTCTCAGAAAGAGTTGGAGAAGTAGTTAAATCTGAAGGCCCTGGGTTCAATTCCAAAGGAAAATAATAGAATCAGTACTTATTTGTTGTTGTTGTTGTACCAGGGATGGAACTCAGGACGTTGCGCTTGGGAGGCAGGCGCAGTGTCCCTAGGCTAACTCCCTGGGCGCTGGAATCAGTACTAACTAATTAGCATCTTTCTCCTCCAAGAGGAAGGCTATAAGTGGCAGAGGACCTCCCACCTTAACCTTATGGCACTATTGCCGTTCTGAAAACGGGGGTCCAAGGAGTTATAAGGATTTCTTGCTGTCTCTGGCCCACCTAGAATGATTGGGCATATGCAGGCAAAAAGGAAAATACGGCCTTCCTAGAAAGGCAGTCAATGACCACCTCAGCCTGCGCGAGCCTGGGCGAGGGGCTGTGGCTGGAAGAGAAAGTTAAATGAGCGAGTTTCCACAGACTTCAAAAGGTTCTTGGCCCTGGGTGGCAGGTAGTCGCCTCCTCCTCAGATCAGGGCCCTAGTCAGCATCAGAAAATCTGGAATGTCATGGGTGGGGAATCCCGTGGCCTGGGCGGTGCACCTGCTAATTGGGGGTTGTAGGTTTCCAGCTTTGCAGCTGGAGGGGGTGCTCAGTGGGGTCCTCTGATATTTTCTGAGCTGAGCCCCATGCTGCTGTATGACTGACTCCACGAGCAGAGGCCGCCCCCCAGAACTGGGCCTCCTCGTCACCAAGTAGTTAAGGATGGAGACCCAAGCTGAGCTGCTCAGCCGTGAATCCCCGTGACAGTGTGACCGACACCGGGAGGACCCACACCTCCACCGCGGGACGGCATGACCAGGAGGGCTGCAGAGGAAAGAGAACGTAGACGTGTTACCTTCTTGGACTTCCTCTACAGCTCCCCCCGGGGCTCCCAGAAACTCCTGGAGCCCGGAGCAAGGGCTTGCAGAGTCGCAGCTGGAGCAGGTGGGAGTAAGAGTCAGAACAGCATAGGCGGGATCGGTGCGGGGTCCCCTCGTCCGCACAAGCTGGGGAAGGGATGTGTGTGCCTGAACCCTTGCCGTGCTTGCACGTTGCACACGGAGTCGGGAAACTGCGATGTGTTGATGTGGTTCGTGCACGGTGAAATGCGATGAAGAAACGTGGCGAGAGGAGCCGGCGGCGGCGGCGGAGGCTCTAGGATGAGGCGGGGTGTGGCAGGTTCCAGGCGGGACAGGACTGGCCTGGCCGGTCTGGCCAGCATCAGGAGAGGTACGAGAGGCCTGGAGTTGGCTCTGCCAGCTTCTCAGAGTCACCGGATGTCAGGCTAAGGGATGTGATGATGTCTCCTGGGCCTGCAGAATTCACACTGCCTCCTCCCCAGCCTCCTTGGTCTTCGTGGTGGGCGGAGGCTGCCGAGCCATCTCCACCTGTCTCCCTTAATTTCTGGCTCAAATGTACTTCTCCACTGGCCCAGCATGGCTTCAGTCGAGGTTAGGAGAGATCTGGCCTTCAGGTCCATTTAAACGGGAGGCGCGGTGACGAGGCAGGCTCTTAGCGTTGCTGCACAGTCCACACTGTCCTCGAAGGTGTAGTCCTCCTGCCTCCATTTCCCCAGGGTGGGGATGACAGACGCACATCACTGTGCTGCCGCCCTCCACCGTACCTGAATAGGTCAACCTATTTAAATAGAAAAGTTAAATGACATAGAGAAAAACATTCCTGTTTTGAGGTGTACTGGAATCTTTACTGTGTTAAAATGGAGTAAACTATTACAGTATAGTTTTCCTTTTGGCCAGTAAAGCTGCCCCCAGCCCGTACCAGTTATGTCACTGGCTGGATTTCATTGAATTGTTGTTGTTGTTTAAATAACAGCTTGATTGAACTATAATTTACATGCCATATGATTCACCTGTTAAAAATGTACAATGCAGTTTTTTGTGTGCATTCACGAAATTGTGTAACCATCGTAACAGTTAATTTTAGAACATTTCATCACCTCCCTCAAACAACCCTGGCCATGAGCAATTACTCTCCCAGGCCTCTCGTGCCCCGCCCCAGCCCCACGTAATCCCTGACCCACTTCTGTCTTTTGGAGTGGCTCAGTGGTGGAGCCCTTGCATGTCCTCGGTTAAATCTATTCCTATGTATTTCATCCTTGTGAATTGATTTCTTTATTCACTTTTCTTTATTATTCACTTTTAGATTATATCGCTAATGTACAGAGGTACAATTCTTTTTTTGTCTGTTGAGCTTATATCTTGCAAACTTGCTGAGCTTGTTCATGACTTCTAGTAGTTTCACGGATTCCTTCAGCTTTTCCATGTACTTCACCAAGTCTTGCTATCTGTGAGAGACAGTTTTACTTTTTTTCGAGTCGAGAAGCCTTTTACTACTTTTTCTGTCCTGACTAGAACTCCTACTACACTCTAATGTTAAATAAAACTGTTAAGAGCAGACCTTCTTAGCTGGGCACGGTGGCGCATGCCTGTAATCCTACCACTCGGGAGGCTGAGGCAGGAGGATTGCTGTGAGTTCGAGACCAGCCTGGGCTGGTGAGTTCCAGGTCAGTCTCAACTACATAGTGAGACCCTGTCTCAAAGCACCCCACCAAAAAAAAACCAAAAAAAAAACCAGATCTGCTTGTCTTGTTCGTGATTTAAGGAGGAAAACATTCGTCTCTCAACATTAAATAAGATGATTTTTCGGGGATCGAACTCGGGTCCTTGCACTTGCAAGACAGGTGGCAGCGGAACCACTGAGCTAAATGCCTGTGCAAATAAGATGTTTTTGAAGAGGTTCTTTCTATCATGCTGAGGAAGTTCCTTTCTAGTTTTATCTCTTTGAGTATTTTTGTCATGAAGGGGTGGTGAATTCTGTCAGATGCTATTAAGATGCCTGGGCTTTGTCCTTCTAGTGATGTGGCAATATTACGTTAATTGATAGATGTTATTCCTGGAACAAACTTCACTTGGTTATGGTGTGAACCTTTTCATGTTTTGCTGGATTTGGTTTTCTAGCATTGTGCTGAAGATTTCAGTGTCTGATTCATAAGAGTAGTTTTCTTTTGATACCCTTGTCTGGCTTTGACCCCAAGGAAATACTGACCTCGTAGAATGAGTTGGTAAATATTCCTGCTTGTTTATCTTTTTAAATGACATTTTTCATATTGTAAAAATAGGAAAATACAGTATAACTAAAATTTAAATTATTCAGGCTAGATGTGTGGTGAACACCTGTAATGTCAGCACTCAGGAGGCTGAGGCAGGAGGATCACCATGAGTTGAGCTCAAGCCCAGACTGAACTACATAGTCTCAAATGTTACTCCTAGTACTAATAATAATAATTTAGGAGGGCAGGGGAAATGGATAAAAAATAAGAACCAAGATACATCATGTAAAGGTACAAGATCCCAGTGATGATGTAACCTTAAAAGTACCAATAAACTTAATGAAAAAATAATTTAAATTACTAATAGCACTATGTAAAGGGAACTACCGTTATTATTTGGCTATATTTTTCCTATTTTTTCTATGCTTATATACATGTTAAAATACTAAATTGGCATTATGTGAAGTTCAGTATGCTATTTGCTTTCTTCTAATGTTAGAATTACATTTGTGATCTACAGGGAAATATCATTCATCCATTAATTTAAAAAAATGAATTTCTAATAATTCTATGACATGGATGAACCTCAAAAACATCCTGCTAAGTGAAATACCCAGATGTAGAGGCTGTGTGTCATGTGATCACTACATAGCCAGACCCTGTCTCGTGACACAACAAAGACCCATAGCCTGTATGCAGCATATGAAATCCTATGAATTCATGAAGAAAAGCATAAATTAGCAGTAAAAATTTCATATAGAAAAATTTGTGAGTAGAGCTAGAATACCATTTAGAAGAAAATTTATAACATTAAATACATATATTTGAAAAGAATTGTTGAAAAATAATGAGCCAAGGATGCAGTTAGAAAGTTTTACTTAAAGAATGAAATAATACAGCAGTCAAAATTAATGAAATAAAAGCTAACCATACAACAGCATTTTTTAAGAACTAAATTTTGTTCTACAATATGACTATTTTTGTTTAATTTTCTTTGGTTTGTTTGGGTGCTGGATGGAACCCAGACTCACAGAGTACTAAATGTCCTGCCACTGAGTCACAGCCCTGTCCCCATTAAGACAAATTGGTAACACTCTGGTGAGGCTACAAAAGAAATAGAATGAGTTACAATTAGAAATGAAGTTGGGAACATTGCAAGAGCTCTTGTGTACATCTAAAAGATAATAAGAGGATACTATGGACAGCATAATACCAATAAATAGAAAAAGTTTAGTTGGAAATGGAAAAATCCCTAAAAATAATGAATTTCTTTTTCCAGTACCAGGGATTGAACTCGGGACCTTGAGCTTGTGAGGCAGGTGTGGTGCCACTGAGCTAAACCCCCAACCTTAAAAATAATGAATTACCAGGTGACTCGTGAAGGAATGGAACACTTGAATTCTCCCATAACTCTTAAAGAGATTTAAAGAGTAATTTAAAATATTCCCACAGAGAGAACTCCAAACCCAGTTAGCTTGCCTATGAATTGTGTTGAATATTTGAGGAAAAAAGTAATTCTGTTCATATACAAACTCTTCTAGAACTTTAAAAGTTTCTACCATCAAGAATTGAAGTTATTCTCCTCAGCTCACTTTATGGAGTTAACATAACCCTGACTCCAGAGATGACAAGATCAATCAAGGAAAATTACAGGTCAATGTCACTTATACACAAGGCTATACAAACCCTAAATAAAGTTTATTAAGCAAACTTGACCACATATAAAAGGAATAATACATACGACCACCAAATTATATTTAGTCTTAAGAATCAAGGTTAGGGTGCCTATTTGTTTGTTTTGTTTTGTTTTGAGACAGAGTCTCACTAGGTAGTTCAGGTTGGCCTTGAATTCATTATATAGCCCAGGCTGGCCTTGAAATCAGGGCAATCCTCCTGCCTCAGCTTCCTGAGTGCTGGGATTGCAGACCTGTGCCACCATGCCCAGTTTAGGTTGACATTTAAAAAAACAGTTTACTGTTTTTACTACAACATTTAATTTATTGCAACAAATTTAAGGACAAAATTTATACAGTTATGTCAATAAATGCGGAAAAAGAACTGGATAAAAATCCGACATTGATTAGATTAAATGGATGCATTTTAAGAAAAATTTTCCCAAACCAAAAATGGAAGGAAACTTCTTTAATCATATAAAGGCTATTTTTAAAAAATAACTACAGCCGGGGATTTAGCTCAGTGGTTCGGGGGCCTGCCTTGCAAGCGCAAGGACCCGAGTTCAATCCCCAGTACCAAAAAAAAAAAAAAAACTACAGCAAACATCATACTTAGTGGTGAAACAGAGGACGTTTTCCCTCTGAAAACTGGAACAAAACAAAGTACCCATTTGGACATGGAGGGTCTCGCCTGTGCAGTGAGAAGAGAAAAAGAAAGAAAAGGGATAGGGTTTGGAAAAGGAAGATTTGTAGATTTTATCTTTATTGACAGAAGAAAAAATTTTAAATCTATAGATCATTAAAATTATAATGCAGCAGGTTTTCTCAACTTCAAAAAAATCAATAAACAAAAAGCCAATGTATTTAACAGTATCAAAGAGGAAATTATATTTTAAAAAGCTAGCCCTTATCATTGAAAATATCAAGTTACTAGGAATTGATCTAATAAAACTTGAGTAGGTGTCTAATGCAGAAAAACAGTGTTTTTGAGAGAAATTAAAGATGATCTTACAACGTGGGGATATATTTGGTGTTCATTGATTGGAAAACTATGGCAAAAATATTGCAAGCAAGCCTATCCGTTCTCCCCAAAGTCATCTATAGGGTCTCACAGGTAGTTCAGGCTGGTCTTCAACTCATGTAGCCTGGGCTGGCTTTGGCTGTGAACTTGCAGAGATCGACTGTCCTGCCTCAGCCTCCCG